GACAAGTGTCCACGTAGAAATTAATTGACGTTTAGTCTAAGTTAAGCTAACGAGGTTGCACACCGCTTTAGCACGTGTAGCGGTATCTAATAGTGATGGGATTTATACTTTGTCTGATTTGTTGTTCTGTGATGCCTACGATAAGGGTTCTGTTTTATGTTCCCCTTATTTCATCTGTGGTTGATTAATCAAGTTTTCTTCGTACTGCCGAGGTTTTCGATTAAAAAAACAAATTAAACATCATAATTAAGCAAATATATAAATTCAACGGGTCCCCTGTGGGCCATGATCGATTTAGAACGTATTGGCTCTCATTATATACGTAACGATTTGAAATTAGAGTCAAAAAAGTTGAACATGCAACTCCAAGAGACCAGACCACTGAAGCTAAAAAACATGCAGATATATTATCTTGCTTTTTATTATTATAAAATTTATATATAAATAATGTTGAAATTTATGGACAAATTAAAATAAAAACCAGCCATCTGTTTTTTTTTCTTCTCTCTTTTTTTCTCTGTTTCTTCGAGAGGGTAAGGTGCTTTGTCAGCGACAACGCAGATTAAGGATCATTGTACGCTGCTGCATGCGCGTGCTTTGAACAAAATGATCATGATCAAAGCCGTGCTTTGACCCCCCCCTCGATCACTTTTATTGAGTCTCATCAGTCTCACTCTCACCACGTTTGCAATTATAATCTAATTAAGATTGATTTTATCAGATTCAGATGCTTTGTATATATATAATAAAGTGATATATATATATATAGTCATGGAGGAATTGGACTTTTGAACAACCGCACCTAACCCTTATCTCACAGTTGAAGATTTTATGCCTTCTGTAGGGCAAAGCCATGTGGGTGGTGATACTATTGATACCCCATTTGTACCTTATTTCTAATTATCTTTCGGTCCCTCAGTCTCTCAGAAGTCACAAGTTTGAATGATCAATCTCTGCTCCTCCCCTTTTTCACTTTTCATTCAACACCACACAAGTTGGAAAAAAAAACACAGCAAAAATAAAAAAAGGGACCGTACGTATAGAGCCTGAATATTGACTAATATAATTCTTCTCCGATGCGGACGTCCGAATTAACTGAATTAACCGAATCTAAATGAGCATGAGTAGCTAGAGCTAGGCTGATTGACAAAGCCTACTAGAAATTTGGTCTTTCTGAGTTCACGGTTCTTGCAACGACACATTCAGGTAAAGTCTGCACAAAAATACATCTGTTGCGTTTGTTAATGTCGATGGAATAATTCAATCATTATATGTAAATCTTAGATTGTATGCAAATTGTAGATCTTATTTTTTGTTTGTTTTGTGAGAAACATTGTTCTTGGCAGAAAAAGCTCACATGAGTTAGTTTCTTTTCCTGTGATATGTATTGTATAAGTTCACGTGGTGGGCAGACAACTTGTTTCCGAGCAGAGTTTCTTTTTAATATATTTTGTCATGTTGGAAACGCATGTTAGATAATCTTAATTAATTAGGGAAATGAAATTGATGTTTCTTTAAGTACCACATAATTCAAGGTAATCAAAAGAATGTATATATGTACCAAAATATCTGATATGTTATACTGTTTGTCTATCAATCTGACGTTACGCATCAAAATAAGAATATAAAATACATCCGTCGATAAAAGAACGTTTTTATATGATATATAAATATATTTATATGAAATTGTTGTAGAGTCAGTAGTACTGTAGCTTGGCTGGTCCATGTTATGATGGATAATAGGGAATTTAAGAAGCAAAAGTACGTAGAGGGGGAAGTGGAAAATGATGATGAAGACCAAGAATGATATATGCCCTCCCATTTTCAAATCAATTGAGTAGTTGGGGAGAATCCTGGAACCCTACTTTTAATTGTGATTTTGAAACCAAAATAAAGGATATGATTCTTGTTATTTATTAACATGGAGGAACACATGAGAGAGAGAGAGAGAGAGCATCATAGAACTGTTCCAAAAGGCAGGTGATGAATGATGGTGATGAGGTATTTTTAGCTCCCTCTGAAGGGCCATGTGAGTGTCAAATCTTCTGCCTAGTCAAATGGGTAATATGCCGACAACGTACGTGGCAATGATTCACCAAAACATTTGATTAAAATAATACTAGTCATTTCTCAGACCAAAAAAAGTCAAATGGGTAATATGCCGACAACGTACGTGGCAATGATTCACCAAAACATTTGATTAAAATAATACTAGTCATTTCTCAGAACAAAAAAAGAAAAAAAGAACTAGTCATTTCTTGGATACTGATATTATAACATCCCTGCATATATTTGTGGGGGAGATTAAGATTCCCTCAAATTATATGGATGGACAAACGAATTTATAAATAATTTCATATGGAGTTGTCTCTAGAAGTTGTTGGATTAAATCAAACTACTTCAAATCAATGGTTGAGAGAGGATAGACTCTCAACGGCGCCTATTTTTGGCGTTCAGGTGAGCATGAACGTCATTGAATATTTATTTATTTTTAATTCAGTACTTTATTGAATAAATTAAGCATTGAAAACACATAAACAAAAATGCAATTAGATAACCATACGGTGTGGTGCAATTAGCAAACTACTATCTCCAGTTGACGAGCTATATTTTGCCTCAATGGCAGGAGTTCAAAACCCTTTAGAAGCACTTTGTGGCCAGGGGCAATTTGAACCTCGAGCGAGGATTAATCCCACCCTTCGAATATGGGGACACTTCATGGTATTAAAAAAAAAAGAAAAAAAGAAGCGATTAGGTAAAATAGAGGTAAGCACCTAAACCGATAATGACTTATATATATAGAATAATTTTTGAAATTAGAGATTTGGGCCTCTGCTCCACTTTACCTAAGATGTTTCCAACATATTTATTTCATTGATTGTGTCGTGGGTAGGGCTTGTGAGAGACATTTGAGAGAGAAAGAGTCAAATCTCAAGACTCCAAATAAAGGCAGTGCATGTGATGGGTGATGGGAAAGTTACGGTAGTTATGGAAGTTAATAAAGAGCCAAACCATGTCATGATAAAAGCAAACGCAAACCCTTCCCGCCAACTGAATCCTGACATGCATTTTAATTTGAGGATGATTTTGATTTGTCCATCTTGCAAACCCGTAATTAATGCCTCAATCATCATTTATCTGTAATCAAAGTTTGATATACATTGTTAGCACGTGTCCTCACGATGTGATGAAATGATTTGGCAACTTAAAACGTTTTAGAATTATCAGGTTATTAACTTCTTTGTTTATTTTATACGTTGCTGAATAGGGTTATGAAGTCGATAGTTTGACAACACTAACATGTTTGCTTGTCTCACAAAGAAAAAAGAAGATTTCCTTTTATAAATTAACTTTCAAGTAACGTATTTAATTAACATAGTATATATTGCGTAAACCCGCCACGTTAATTTATAAAAGAAGTAAAAGGGAGTGAATTAATTAACCTCTAAGGGGAGGTCTACATGATTAACTGGACCACACAACAATTACAATTTGTTACCAAACAGTAAGCCCTCGGATTCCATCTGGCTTCTGTTGGGTGCATGAAATATATGCATAAAAAAGATTTAAAGAAAAGAAAACAAATGAAAAACTGGTAAAGTAATTGCAAAAACCATAAAGTTGGCAGTTAAGATTAGGTGATTTTTCAATGTCTAAAATGATGGGGGAAGGAAGCCTATTGAAAACCCTTCACGTGTAATGAGGGACGGATGAGTGCAGCAAATGAAAAAGCCTTATCCAGAATGCATGCCTATGTTAATCAAGTCGATGGTGACCCCAAAATGCTCAAGTGGGCAAGTAGATGAAGAGAGCAAAAGAAACTTACAAATAAAAATATTTTTTTTTCAGAGAAGAAAAAAGGCATGAGACTCAAGGAGCCCAATAGGGTAAAACCACGCAGCACCCTTGCAATGAATCCAGATGTCGTTTTGTGTTTGGTTGGTTTATTTTAATCCCTATTTTTCTATGTTTATTATTTTATATTTTAGTGGAAGATTGAAGTGCAAGGAAAGTGGTGTGATGGATGCTGTGTCTTCCAACCCAGATTGGTGGCCTGCTGCTGCTGCTGCTTCATGCTGTTGTGGGGTTTTTGACCATTTCTACTTTTGATTGTTTCCAAGTTTGGGGCTAGTAACAACAAACACATATGGCCTGAGAGGGCCCTACAATCTCTACATCTTTTTATGAAATATTTAAATATTTGACAACTTTTTTTTGTATCTTTCAAAAGATTTCTTCCACCATGTACTGGTGCATACTTTACCTCTTTTCCCAGCACCTTCCTCTCCTGTGTTTGCATATGGATTGGAGGGCTGAAACCAAATAGCAGTATGTGAGATTGGTTTTGGGCTTTTGTATTTTATTCTTCCCAAGAGGGAATTGGTTAGAGGTCTAATATTTTCTCATACTTTTTTCTGTTTTGATGAATAACATCATGACATATAAAGCAATATGATTGTCTTGAATGTACAATATTGATGTCTTTCTACCTAACCCATGCATGCTACAAAAAAATCATACAAAAAGAAATATAAGAAAAAAGTTTTAAAAGAAAAAACTTGCCCAAATCAAGAAATCTGTTTCAGCACATCCCACTTGTCATCAAAAGCTCAAATCATTTCAGAAATGGCCCAATCCAGCCCTTTAGAAGGCCCTTGATGAAACAGAAACAGAAGCCATGCATGGAATAAAGTTGGGCTTTCCCGCCAATTTGAGGTTTGTGCGTCAGTGGATTGAAATTGAAACCAGAATGTGGAGGTAGACAGTAGCAAACAGATTTGTTCAAGTTCAGGGTTCTTCATTCTAGTAACTGTTCCAGAAAAAATAAAAGTTCAATACTTTGTTTTACAAAATCTGTGAACGCATATTGAACGTAAGCTACAAACTGGGTTGTTCCCAGATAAAATGGAAACTGGGTTGTTCCCAGATAAAATGGAAAAAGTAAAAGTATTTCTCATTCTATGGAGGAACTCATAAGGAGTTTAAACAAGTTAAATTCTCTGAGTATCCCCTATCTTTTACACTAGATAATTTATGGATTTCTATGTCAACAAGGTTAAACTTAGGTTGTGTAACTATAGTTTCTGGTAGTGGAATACCGAGGCAGCTGATGGTTTGACGCTCCTCCCTATTCATACTGCAAGGTCAGCTTCGATAACACTGCTTCTCATATTCTGAAGCTCAGCTGTAATACCACTGCTTTCTAGGTAATGACAAAAGAACGAGTGATGTCGGATAAAAAGTGTTTTAAGTTGTACAACAATAATGCACAATACCTGCTAAACAGTGAGCTTTGTAGTGATGCTGCATTGTCTAGGAGCAAAGGTCACTGCATAAGAAAGATAAATAAAAGTGAGAAACGGAAGGCACAATGTAGCCCAATGTTCATACAAGGGTGGCCTTCCTGGCATGTATTGATTGTAAACCTACTAAGAACCAGGAGAAGTTGATGCTTCCATTACATTCAAAGCTGAAGTATACTTAGTGCAAGTCCCCCCAAAAATGTGTTAGCACAAGAATGCATATAACATATGACACTGACCCAATCAGAATTGCAAGCCCACTGGAGCATCCATTAGAAAAGTCCTTGAAAGAATCTAATATTTGTTTCAAATCCTGAGGAGCCTCAGACGAAAGAGCATAAATTGCCTCTGAATAGGTCAACTAGTTACAATGTAAACTTCTACTTGTAAGTTTGTAAACTAAGTATTTCTATCAAATTTTACAGTAAATATCTTGAAGCAGCATTATATGATATAAAACGAGCAAAAGTAAAGCTAATGTCATATTTTCAATTAAAAAATTAAAAAATAACTCTGTTTACCTTTCGCTTACAAAGTATATAACATGATCCTGAATAAGGCGAGGATGGAAATTAGTGTCCCCCATAAAAGGCAAACTTGAAGAACTTTCCTTCTCTTCCTTGGGCACAGCAAAGCGAAGTGGGAAAGAGTCCCCTCTAAAATTGATTCTCCATCCAGAAAGTACACCTAATTAATATCATTTGAGCAAAAAGAATTGCATGAATCTTATCATTCTTTATCTGCTGATCAGGCACAGTATAAATGGTGTTAATTGAATAGACTCTATGTCAACATTAATTCACTCCTGAGTTGCACATACTTAGAGGGACTAAACTGAATGAACATGACAGGCATACTAAAGCATCTCACACTCTATCAAGGGGCAAGCAGAACTAATCTTTAGTCTTCAACTGGCTTAGCCCTGCTAAGCCCACAAAGAAAGACATCAGGCCAAAAGTTCAGAATTGCATGATTGCAATTTTGAAGTACAGCCTCCAGACTGAGTTTGGGCGAGCCCAAGATCAATAGGCTAGAGAGGTGTTTTAAATAAAAAAACGAACATGTACTCTCATTATATCTGAAGACCGTTGGGCTGAATAGCAGCACTTTAATGATCAACTCAGGAGCTAACCCTTAGTTGAAGTACAGAACTAAAACGATAAAAAAGACACACCTTTCAGACTCATACATTGGGGCAGGGTTAGCAGGAGCTAACCCTTAGTTGAAGTACAGAACTAAAACGATAAAAAAGACACACCTTTCAGACTCATACATTGGGGCAGGGTTTGCACAACTCATCCTGAATGGATTTTGATCTCAAATCTATGACTAACTTTAGCCAGTCCATTCACACGGGGAATGTGGAATTTGTGGTTAATATATAAGCATTTGACAACTGACTGGTTCTGAGGCGTTACAAAACCTTCCTCAAATAATCTCTCTGCAGGCCATACCGTATGCACGCATGGACATGCAATTTTTATATCCATTGGCCAACATGCAGGGCACTGATCACTTAGGCTTGACAAATCTTAAAACCTTATTAAGACAATGGTAGAAATTAAGTTTAATAAATAAAAAACTTACCGGCAAACTGTTGAGAAGAGCTAGTGTTAGAGAGACTTGGAATGTGCATATCAAAATCCTTTCTAGTACATTTGGAAGATATGTACCCAATGGAAATGCCCAGCGAGGTCGATATGCAGTTAACTTAACCGAGCGTGCCATGGAGATAACATCACCAACAAAGACAAAAATCCCACCACAGTTAGATTCCATGGAATCAGAAATTCTTGGACCCACAAAAGATTTTCTTCTAACTCGCAAGCATTCCAGAGAATAGGGCCTTGAATAGGCGATCTCAACCCATATTAAGCCTGGAATTTGAACTGGACTTAAGCAGGACTCCTCCTGTAGACATTAACAAACTTGTATTTATTTGCAGTGAAACAAGTAAATTTCTAAAATTGCATTTCTTACAAACATCCAGATACCAACCTGTGAACATACGCAGTTGCTGCCATTGGTTATTGCCGCCCATCCTTCACCACATTTATTAAGCTTGACAACACTCTTTGCATTCAAGCAGTGGGTTTTCTCAATTCTGCTTGGATGATTATGATCTAATATGATTGTATGATTACAGGGAAGAGGTGTAAATGCAGTAAGATCTTCAGGACAAGAAGACTGGTTATCTCCTATAACAATCTGCTTACTTTCCTCCATCATAGAATTAGGCACACAGTACCCCTTTATTCTATTGATTCCAAAGCCTTGGACATCTAGGGAATGGTTTCTACCTCTAAGTGCCAATTCATTTATCAGAGCTGTCATCTCCATCCATTCCTGGACATTATGGATGAGCACACCATCAACTGACACAATTACATCGCCAGGAGACAAGTAACCGGACAAAGGCGATGTAGATGGTACACCCAAAACCTATTTCCAGACAAACATAACATATCAAAATAAAACGGTGATCAAAATAGTGTTCATTTGACCATACTGATACTGGTAAGTCAAATACAGAAAACAATGAGACAATTCAATGGTTGCGGTGAGTGAAGTACCATGGGACTTTCACCATGTATGTAGAATGGAAACAAGATGAAGGGCAAGAGAAGTAATGCCAGCCCACAAACTGCACAGCACTGGAGGTGAATGAAATTCGAAGGCTAATTAGCATTAGCTTTTGCAAATACATTAACGCCATCAATACATAAATAACGAAAACACATGTAAGCTTACCACTGCATTGTGCCAAATTCCAGCACAATAAATCCGAAGAGCAGCAAAACAAGACAATGGTTGCAGAGACTCAGAATCGAAAGCTACCAGAGCACCAGGAAACAGAAACGCAACAAACACGGCAACATACTCCATTTGCACGCACTCACTGCTTTCAATCAAGCCTACGTTTCGCTTCACAATAATAAAAAACAGAAACGCAAGTAGCTAATGCATAAAGGGTAAGAAATAAGTAAAAAGGAGAGACCTTGCAGCAGCGAGAGCATGACCCAGTTCATGAACAGAAACTGAAACCATTGTGGCAATGAAGATATAGGCAGCGTCGGCGATTGAGGTGCTGAAGGAGGAGGAAAATCTAGAGAACAAGTCAATGAAGAAGCTTCCATGGAAGAGATTGAGAGCTCTGCCGAGTTCCCAGATGAGGATGAGAGAAATGGAGACGAGCAGGGTTAGGCCAAAGCCGACCCCAATGGAGAACCATGCCCTGAGAATTTGGGAGTGGCTTCTGCCGAAATGGAAGAGGGGTTGGTTGAAAGCCCAGAACTTGAAATCGCAGTAGCAACAAGAGATGGTGGTTGAAAGACGAGGAGGAGATGACGGGTTTGAATGGGAGTGAATGGGTAGAAGACTGTGATGGGTTTGAGTTTGTGGGTGTTGCCCTCTTGCTCTTCCCATACTGAACCTTCTCACTCGTCTACCCTCCATTGAGTTTGTGGGTGTTGCCCTCTTGCTCTTCCCATACTGAACCTTCTCACTCGTCTACCCTCCATTGTTGTTCGCTCGTTTACCTCCCCAAAACCAAATTTTCCCTTCTGTTTTCTCTTATATTTTTGGTTAAACGTGCAATTTTATTACTTTTGTGATGAAAAGCCTAATGTTCACTCAAATTTTCCCTCAACCATTATAAAAATTTAGGAAATACAGTCCCTTTTTCATCAAATATAATATATTAAAAAGGAAAATTTATATGTAAGTACAAGTTAAAATATTACAAATTCACATAAAATGTCATGTAAACTTGATACAAAAAGTCCAATTAACTTCATTATTAATATTATTAATTGGTTCTTAAAAAGAGAAAATATTAATATTTGCATTTTCAGTTGAAATGGAATGATTTTTAAATTTTTATTTTTATTTTTTTATAAGAGGCTTGAAACTTAGGTGGTATACAAATTTAGTAGAAATAGTAAATGCAATTGAAATGAGTTGTTTGATAAAAGGCTAGGTAGGGAGCCAAAGGAAACCGAGCAAAATGGTGTGGACATGAAAAAGAAAAGTTCATAGATTTACCATAGTGTAGAATTTTTTTATATTTAATTTACTCTCAATCTTATTTTTCACTGTAATTTATTATTTTCTTTTTCTTTCCATGTAAATTTCTATTTTAAAAAACACAAAATTCGGTAACATATTTCTAAAAAGAAATTATATTTTAAATAGAGTTAAACGGGAAAGAGAGGGTGGAAATTTGAAATATAGAAAGAACTAGGGTACCCAAGTTGGAACCATCCGGCATCCGAGGAGCAAATAGCAATAAAAAAGGCAGTAAAAGCGAAAAACAGAAAAAAGAAAAGAAAAAAAAAGGAGGTAAAAGAAAGCGAAAAATGACATTGTGGTCTCTGGTCTTGTTGGAACTCCTGGAGTGACACGCCATCTCAAATTCTCAACTGTAGATCCATTCCATTCTCAGCTATTTGTGCATTTCTGGGCTCTCACCGACGCACAGAGACTGAGCAGCAGAAGCCACACACACCTCAAACACACTCAAATCCGCAAACCCATTTCATTTCAATGATTCTCTTGCAGTCCCATTCAAGATTTCTCCTTGACAACTTGCTCAATCGCCTCCAAAAGTTCGTTTCTTTTCCCGTTCAACGATTAAATTCTTCTTCTTCCTTCTTCCCCTCTCATTGTTCCTCACCATGTCAGTTTTTTGCTTATTGTGCAGCATCGAAAAAGCAGTGGAGGCGGACTACCACTGGGCCGAGTTCGATGACGTTCGGTACCATATTCAGGTGATTACCCAGAATTCAATTAAGGATTTTGAACTGTTTTAGTGGGTTATTTAATGGCTGAAATTATGCAGGTGACGATGAAGAACCCACATATCTTGTTGCTCTCTGTATCGTTGCCTACTCCACCTCCAGAAACTGTATTCTTGGGTGGACTTCCATCTGGAGCTATAGAGGCTATAAAGGCTGCATATGGCGCGGTTGTTCAAATTCTTGACCCCCCTAGAGACGGTTTTAATCTTACATTGAAGCTCAATCTCTCTAAACTTCCTCCAGATGAAGGTTCAACGAGTTCCTTTTCTAAGGTCATTATAAGCTTGCCATTGCCATGGATATGTGCTCAAAACGTTTAGGATCTTGTTAAAGCCAGTCAATGCTATGAAAATTTGCTAGCTTGCTAAGTATATGGGCCTATTGGGGACAATGATAAGATTCTTTGTGTAATGTTATATTGAGATTTTCTTGTATTGTTTGGGAGTTTTCTTGTGTTAGTATACTTTTAGCTTGATATACAATATTGGGTTGTCTCCAGACAACTTTAGCTTCTTGGATTGCTTGATTCAACACTATAAAGCCTGCCGAGTTTAGATTATACTCTTGTGGGCATCCCTTTTTTGACTACGTTCCAATTTATGTATTTACTTTTTGGCTGATTTTCCAATTTTTCCTTTTGTGACTTTGTTGTTTAAACGCTATTCTTGTGTAGAGTACAAACATGCTCTTTTGGTAAAGATTGCATCTGTAAGAGAAGTGGTGCTAGGCGCTCCATTGAGAGGAATTCTGAAGAAGCTTGTTTCAAGGACTGTTGCTTCCAATACTGATGGGCTTGTTGCTCTCGTGCATCGGCCAAACGAGTCCTTTTTCCTTATTCCTCAGGTAAAATTACAGATTAAGGTCAACAAGTTATCACATTGCTATTTATCTTTTGTATTCTCTAGTTTAGCTAATTAGAAGGAAAGCAGTTGAAAGTTTGTTGGTGAAATTTTCAAAATTTTTTGCAGGCAGACAAAGTGACGATAATATTCCCTATGAGATTCAAGGACTCTATTGATATTGTTCTTGCAACTTCCTTCCTGCAGGTATAATAAGTATATGATCCTAAATTGCAAAGATGAATTTCTTATTGGGGAAGAGATTGTAATGGGCTATCATGTATATGTTGATGGGGCTATAAGTGCTTTTAGACCTTACATAATGCTAGCTTGTTGAACCCTGCTACTCTCCAAGTTATGCTGCCTTGGATCCATTTACTTTTGTTTGGTGATTTCTTATTGTTAATTGCGAAGGTTATTACCATTTAGGAATTTGTGGAAGCAAGACGCACGGCTGGACTTAATACTGCCCCTCCTTGTTTGTGGTCTCCTACCCCTCCATTAGAACTAAAGGAAGCTCCTGCTGAAGCACTATCTGCCAATGCAGGATTTGTCACTTTTGGTAATGTCAGAGAAATAAGAAGTTTATCTATATTTTTTCACTGTAACAATTTGTACTGTGTACTGATGCAGTTATTTTCCCTCGTCACGTGGAAGGCAAGAAACTGGATCGAACAGTTTGCAGTTTATCGACTTTTCATGCTTATGTTAGTTATCATGTTAAGGTGTGATCTTTTAACCTGAACTTATTATTCCATCTTTTGTCCTCAACTTCTTTATTTTCTAACTCGAAAATTGATAAACTATAGACCCTACTTCCAATATTTACCATACAACATGCTACAGAATGTTATTAAAGTATAATATTAGTACAGTGCGAGTGGGTTAAGGTTGAGTTAGTAATTAGAATTTAGATTTACTATTTTATTTTGCTGAATATTATTCTCTTTTCTTTTTGGAAAGAAATTGTATGTCATATTACTTTGTATTGATGAATGGTCATGGTATGATATAGGCATTGCAGAAAGTTACATCTTATATGTGGGAAGTCAAATATTTTTTATTATTTCTTTTATATGTTTTTTCTTTGTTTAATTTACTCTTAATTACAGAAACTTGTTGAATCTTTCCAAGCTTCATGTACAAGTAATGCTGGACCTATCTTTCCATGCTGCTAGTAGTTGTCCCGCACAATTTTGTTTTGTTGTCTGTGTGTACCTTACTGACTGTAATTGCAGCATGGCAGCGTGTCATGTCCTTAATGATTTACTATATTTCCATTTCTTCATTTGATACGTTTGATCTCAGTATCTTTTGTGCATATTCTTCCACAGTGTTCTGAGGGTTTCATGCATACAAGGATGCGGCGTCGCGTGGAATCTTTGATTGAGGTAGCATTTCCCTTTTCCTTTTTTTCTTCTTCTTAAAGCTACTTAATCTCATTTTCCGTAGCTGCTTGATAATATCTTCAGAGGTTCTATATGAACACACACCCCTTCCCCCCCTCTCTTTATTTGCTTGAAAAAGGAACTAAAACAAAACGTGAATATATTTTTCCATCTCCCCTCCTTTCCCCGCTCCCTCTCCCAGTATGGCGCATTGATGGATAATTTTGTTATCTTGATCTACTAATTAGTGAGTAGGTAAACTTTGTCTGACTGGTTGGCATTTTCTATCAAAAGCAAAGATATTGAATGCAATTTTTCTTTTACTTAGGTTTGATCCCTAGTTTGCAATGAATCCCATCTGAAATGAATAGCATCAATGGGAGGTCATTCCTCTAAATTATGCGAATGAATAGAGAAGAATGTTCAACCACCCAACTTTAGAATTTTGGGTGTCAGGACATAAGTATGGAAGTTTCTGTAGTGTTGATATAGTGGGCAGACAAACTGTTGTATGTGATATATGAGTGAACTCTTTGGAGAGAAACCTCAAAATGTGAGGAGGCTCTGCCTGTTAGTCCTTTTTCTTTATGGCTTGAGTCTGAGCTTAGTTTGCATTTATTTTGGTATATGAGAGTGCGGCTAAATTAGTTTCACTCTGGTTACTGTTGAAGTGTAATGGATAATTATACTTTTTTGCTTCATTGATTATAATTTTGTTGGATTTAATTGTATAACATTTAGAAAAATGAAGTAAAACAGAAAACGATAAAGGACATATTACAAAAAGAAGAAAATTAAACTAGGATTATTGTTAGTATAACGCACATCCCATCGGCCCGGAACCCCAGGCCGTGAGATCTGCGCAGCCGACACATATAAATGGATGAATCAATGAGTGTTTAGAGTTGGTTGCCCAAAGGAATTCTCCCCACCAAGTTTGTTATAAGACAAATTCAAGTGGGACAAAAATGTTAAGGATGCAAGGCTTTGAGGAATATGTCTTGAAAGATGTTTGTGAGAGAGATCAAGAGATTCGAGCACACACAAATTTCCAACGTTGAAGGGGATGTTACCTGTCAATTGATTCCTTGACAAGTTCAAGGTACCCAATACAATGAGGCTACCTATTTCTTGAGGGATTTCACCTTCCAAAATATTTGATGAAAGATCCATGATGTTTACTAGTATTAGAGTGGTGTTATATACGAGTTCTTGTCTTTTATTGACATAGAACCACAACTTATTATTTCCATCTTCATCATTGGGTTAAGTACCATATTGACATAGAACCACAACTTATTATTTCCATCTTCATCATTGGGTTTTGCATATGTAGCAGTAAAAGTGTCATCTACGGGGCATTTTGTTGGAAGAGGAACTCCACACAAAGATGGATTCTCCATATAAATGGATGAATCAATGAGTGTTTAGAGTTGGTTGCCCAAAGGAATTCTCCCCACCAAGTTTGTTATAAGACAAATTCAAGTGGGACAAAAATGTTAAGGATGCAAGGCTTTGAGGGATATGTCTTGAAAGATGTTTGTGGGAGAGATCAAGAGATTCGAGCACACACAAATTTCCAACGTTGGAGGGGATGTTACCTGTCAATTGATTCCTTGACAAGTTCAAGGTACCAAATACAATGAGGCTACCTATTTCTTGAGGGATTTCACCTTCCAAAATATTTGATGAAAGATCCATGATGTTTACCAGCATTAGAGTGGTGTTATACACGAGTTCTTGTCTTTTTAATGTCAGCATGGTTTGCTCACGATGATAGAAGTCAAATTATTGAAACAGTTGGGAATAGTACTTGAAAAACTGTTGCGGCTGAGGTCGAGGATGTGAAGGCAACCAAGACTGCATAATTGTCGCGAGATGTCTAGTAAAAAAAGTTGGATCGCAATTGCAGCATGAACAACATGGATACATTTGATCCTCCTATCCATGGAGGTATGCTCCCATATAATTTGTTTCCTCCAAGATCGATACTCTTCAAAATAGGGCAATTGTGCAAGGAATCGGGAATCTTACTGCCAAAATTGTTGTTGTTCAGCTTCAATATTTCAAGATTACTTAAGAACCCCATTGAAGTGGGAATGTTACAAGAGAGATTGTTGTAGGCAACATCTACAATGCGTATCAAGCTCCTCAAACTCCATGTGGGAGGGAGTTGTCCAGCAAAATGATTGCTCCTTAGGGAAAGGATTGTCAGATTTTGTATGTTGCAAATAGAAGGTGGAATAGTACCATTCAAATCCTTCTCTGAAAAATACAATTCATGCAAGTTGGGCATCAGTTTGTCGAAATTCGAGGGAATTGGCCCAAAAAATAAATTGTTTTCAAAATCAATGATGATGGCATTACTGGACCAAAGTGGGAGTGGGCCCTCAAATTAATTATGAGCCAAACTTATAGAATCTAAATTCAGACATCTCATTCTCATCAATTGGATGGATGAAAGCCTTCCTCAGAATTGGTTGTAAGATAAATCCAGCAGTTGGAGTTCAGAAGATAGCTTTAACAACCATTCCTCTGGTGTAGAATATGGTATTCCAGTGCTCCTAAGGGTAACATGTACTAGTTCAGTCAAAAGGTAACAAACTTGGTTTGCTTCTAAATTCCAAAATTTATATTTCCTTATATTCGTTAGTTAACAAATGTATTTATTATATTACTTGACACCTCTTGAAATCTCACATGAAACGAATTCCCATCATAAATATTTTCTCTCTCTACACCCAAGAACGAAAATTTACTCCATAAGTAATAACCCACTACCCATGTATCTTAAACTTGGGGGAGTGGAGAAAATCAAGTAACATGACATCCATTATCCTGAATCATGGAGAAAAATGAGGAATGTGGGAGTTGGAGCCCAAGACTCCACTGCCTATAAAAGGCCAACTAACATAACATCCCGAGGAGGGAGAAAATCAGGTTTAATACTATTCTAAACTCTCATGCAATTACACTCTTACTGACTTGAGCGTTGGAGTGTTTTCTTGCAGGTTCCCCCTCCTTCATTGATGGCAATCGGAATGGTGTCCGACTTCTCAACATGGAAATCAAATTACCACAAGCGGAAATTACGGGCTCATGGAAAGGCGCGAAGACTTTACTGAACGCGTCCGTTCAGAAAAGACACGTCGAGATAAATGAGTTGGGTATGGTTGGAACGCGAGAAGGTTGTGGGACTCGAGGAATGCTGGATATTCAGAAAATGCTTAGACGCTGCAATGGCTAGGGTTTGTCAAACACTATGTCTATAAGAAGGAAAAAGAAGGGGAAAAAAAACAAAAAACACAAACTCAGAAACACAAAAGAGAAAAGAAGCAAGAAAAAGAAAAAAAGTGAGAAATCAAATGGCCTCTTCCTACTCATTTTCGTTGGATCTCAACCTAGCTCCACCGACTCAGACATGGGGCAAAGCAGCGGCACCAGTGTGGATGCCCTATTTTGCCTCCTCACGGGGGCCTGTGACTGTCAATGACTCAATACTCCTGGACAACGATGTTGCTATTGGAGTTGCTAGAAATTTAGTGACTCCTAGAGACATACGTGTGCTGGGGACAAAGGATGACAACCGGGTTACGAGTGATGCCCTTGTAGGAATTTCAAAACATTTTTCCAAAGTTCATTTGAATATTAAACATGCATTTAATCAAATTAATCGCAGTGGAAGTCTATGGTGGTTGTTTAAATTCAAAAACAAAACTTCTTCCAAGTATCTTAAGCCATGAACATTGATATGTTTTTCATAAATGAAAATTCAAGAGAAAGGATAAGATCTAATTACCCTTGAAGCAATTATATGAACCAATTTGTGTTTGGTCTTCTCTTGATGATTTCCTCTTTGTTGATCTCCTCTTTGATCTTTGATCTTTGCTCCTTGATCTCTCTCCTCCATGTGAGCCACAAAAGTATATGGCCTCTAAGTCTCCACACCAATGGAACCTTGAGATGAGAAGAAGTATCTTGAGAATACTTGGATGCTAGTGCAAGATTCTCAAGATTGGTTTCAATCTAAACCACTTTGAAAGATGAAAGTGTTTCACTTTTGAAAACTCTCTTTTATCTCTCTTTGATCTCCCAAACCCATTTGGTTGATGTTGGATTGTGTTTGTGTGTTAATGAGCTTATGGAAACAATTCTCATACACATTTACTTAAGCATTTACGGCCAAACCCCATTGGGCTTCCAAAATTGGGCCTTATGACACTTAAACAATAATATTTAGGTGTCTTAAGCCCTTGGGCTTGATACCCAACCATTTGGGCTT